CACTTACCAAATTTTGACACTTACCGATTTCGTAATCCTTATGGACGGTTGGTACACGCAGCTACCAGAGAAGGTGAGCTCACACGGATGTAATTAAAAACTGTAGATATTTGTAAGTAAATTGTAAGATATATTTTTTTGAATAGGTATATTCTTTCTCGAACAGAAAAAATAGCCTATTGTATAGTCTATTTTTTTTCCTTGGAAGGGGGTGGTGTAGCGTTTCAGAATTCCATCCGGTATACAACCTGTAAAGACGGGTGCGCAACCTGTGAGCGGGGTTCTAGAAACGTGTAATACAGTCGCCTAGATATAATTCTTGGTTCCTAGTAGCGCGTTCAACTGGTTCTGTAATTTGCAAATTGTATGGGCACTAGTTTCCGCGGTTGCGTTTTTTCGCTAATAGATAGCGCTTAGTGTGAATCTGCATTAATAAGCAGGAATTCTTAAATAAAACAACGTTTACAGATTACCATTTTATTATTGCCTATACGTCAATTGTAACGAATGCTATTTCCATTATTCTTGCATAGAGGGATGAAACCTGAAAAGAAAATCATTGAGGGAAAAGCTTGAAAATCAGTTGTTTCATGTTGGATTGGGGATGATTTTCACTTACCTGTTGTTTCACTTCATTACGTCTGGGATGGTCGAGCTAGGCAGTAGGCAGCCTTCAAGTGTTTTTCCATCTTCGTGGCAGGAAATCTTGGTTCCTAGAGGGCGCTGCATCGCGCGTTGTAGTTTCCTTTCCTGTTTCCTGCATTACCTACGAAGGGGCCTCGAAGGGGGCAAGGGGGTTTTGGAGCGAGGAGATCGAAGGGGAATGGCGTGGGTCGTTGATCGTCGCTATTTTTGAGGCCGGTTTGTTCCTCAAAATTTTCCATGGCCGTTTGAGCTGGTGTCACCAGGATAAGTGGTATGTGCCTGGATAGCTGTTTGTAAAGAAGCCATGTCCGCCGTTGAGTTCAATTGAGTGGTTATTAACCTGACGCTGATGGGAAGCCGCGCGAGAGGTTGCGATGTACGCCGCCTTTTCGACATTTTGGATGGAGCTCATTCCTTTCTGGAACGAGACGTAAGTTGAATTGAATTCATTTCTTGCAAGAACCAAGAGTTTGTTCGTCTTCTAGGTATCTTTGTGTTCTTTTCTGACCCACATGAGGGGCCGTCTAATCACTGCTCAAGTGATGAGACATGTTGGCGAGAGCCATTTTGTATAGATGATACAACCCTCCAGGGTGAGGTAAGTTTTCATGTCACGTTTTGTATTCCAAGGGGAATGAATAATCTTTATTTTTAGGGTTGTAAGTTACCATATAACTTATGTTTTAAGTTAGGCCTGAGTCAGGCTTATAATTTTTTGGTTCTGCAGCATTTGTAGCTGTAAATTTGGTTGGTGCCCATTGGGAGATACCCACTTATTTTTTTACTCCAACTTGCCTGGAGAACCTGGATACCTCTGGTTTCCTGCATCCATCTGCAGTGCTTGCAGATTATCAGTGGCTGTCCACACTGTCAGGATGAATTCCTCATCCTGAGCTCAGAAGCGACCCTCTGGACCTTGGACAGTTTGGAATCTCAGATAAGCTATCAGTTGAATCTTTGAAATGTTTTGAGAATGTCAAATCTTCATATTAGCAATAATCTCATCAATTTAAGTCCAAATTTCACTTTTTCACATTATCACAATTTTTCTTCACCTTTTAAATAAGTTCATATTTTAACCCTGCGCAACACACAGTATACTGGGTGAGGCCAAGGCCTTTTTTTTAACACAATACTTACCCAATATGTATTCTTATCTCTTTGATTGATGAAGATTGGTGATAATCCAGATTTTATGTGTATCTGGTAATTTCTCTTCCATATTTATCATATTTGTACACAGGATAGATATGTCTCATGCAATATTTGAATGATGGCTCAATTGAAGATACCTATAGCTCATGGAGCGATATTATAAGCTGTTCAAATCGGTTTGCTTCTGAATAGTTATAATTAAATCCTAAAAACAAAACCCATTGACTTGTATTTCTCAACTCCTACTCCTGATGGACTATTGTTCTATGTAAAAATTATTAACACTTATCATGCATTCATGTTGAATTTTTCCAACCAGTCTATGAGTTTCTTTTTCTTGACTTTTCAATGAAACTTTCCTTCATAGTATAAAACTAAAGTCAAGTGGTGCCCAAAAATTTCGATAGAAAATGACAGATTCAAAATTACAACACAGTCCTTACCCATGACCTAGCTCTCCAAGACTATAAAAGCTGTCGGAGCAGTAACCCTTCATACAAGGTAAGTAAAAAGGTTACAGTATACCTCCAATTTGAAGCTGCTATAATATGTACTATAAATCATCTCAGATATTTCAACAGAGAATTTGAAAGGAAATAGTCTGTACGGAGTCGGACTCACTCACTCACTGACTGACTGACTGACTGACATGCCATGCACAGCTCAACATGGCGACTGGCGTGTACGTTCGTTTTGCGCATGTGTGCGTCACACTCACAGGTCACAAAGACATCTCATGAGGATATCAATGTGAATCATTTAGTTAACGTCGAAGAGATTTAGTTTGAAGAAGTCGCTGCCACATTACATAGTTTCCTGGTTGCGATGTCACCTTGCGACGTTGATATCGAATCTACGTCGATAAGATGTGTTAACGAGATATTGCATTTATGCAAGGTTGTTACATCACACAGATGTTGATGTCACACGATGGTTGGCTGGGTATTTTCCTACGGGTACTAAATCAACTGCGTTTATCATGATATTCTCTTGGGCGAAATTATATTCAACAGGACGGATGCCATTTTTGATAATTCGAAAAAGAACAACAATAGTCAAAAAAATGTGAATGGAGGTAAGTATTCTTCCAATAATTTAAGCCTCTATGGATACCTACTTTAGGAGCCAAATATTTGTTCGATCAAAGATCCACTCAAACAGGACTCCTCAGTTAAAGATTCGAAATTCATTTATCAGAAAATACTTGTATGGTAGTTTTTTTCCATGAATGTTTTCCTCATACTTACTCATTTCATGAGCTGTATGTGTCACAATATGTTACCATTCATGGAGGAATAGCTCGGAAAATAATATATCTATACTTTGGTCGATATATTTGTATTGCAGCCAATTCCTCTTCTTCCACGTGAGAAGGGCAAGCAGGCAGTTAATAGTGCTCTTGTGAAGCTTTTCAGGCGATGAAAGGGAAATATTTAATATTCCATGGTCTTGTTTCGGTCCTTGATTGACGCATTTATCTGCAAGTAACGAAAATCTCTAAGGAATATTTTCTTCATGAATGGAGTAACTGACGATATTATGAGATTTGCGGATTAATTTATATTGAAGTGTTTATATGGAGGTTCAAGTTGGCAACATCGAGGGCCAACTAGTAACACTTTTATTATTATTGGCTCTCAACGACTTGTAGGGATATATTATTGCTTTTCCACGTTCTACCATCATAATGATTGTGACGGTATATCGGCATTTTTCTGAGCTCAGCCACGAATTTGTTGAGCTTTATATTATTCGATTTGGATGCTCATGCAATTATAATCTATAGGTAGGTACGTAAATGATTCGAAGCGATTATGTACAATATTTGCTATTCAGGAATCAGAGATAATGCAGGCCGAATAGTTAATTTCCGGAAAAATGGAGATGATAGAAAGCCCTGGTTTCGAGTGACAATTGATCGACTGGTATAAGTGCTAAGATATTTCAATCGTCTACCAGATCGCCTCACTGATCCGGTCTCCACTCTAGGATATCTTCTTCTTCTCAAAGTGTGTGTAAAGTTTTACATTGTTGGTGAAAAATTCGAAGCGTTACTTCACTTGAAATTTGTTGTTGTTTTATCAATGGTTCTACAATTTTCCGAAAAATAGGCCTTAGCCTTAAGAGCTATCCAGCAAAATTTTGAGAATTCTGACATCAACATTGACCAGAAGCTCCAATGGGTTGCGTTCAAGAACTGTCAGATGACTGACCCTGGAGGTGAAACATTGAATCACAACCTCACTTTTCTTATTTGTTTACAAGTGATTGAAATTGTTTTTCACAATTATTTTGGCATATACGAATCGCGTTTCTCGGCTATTCATTAATACACGCATGCCATCACATTGTGCTGTTGTACAATGCACAAAAAATGCAACGGGAGACGAAGGAATCTGGTTGGTACATTATGATTCAAAAATAAATACCTACTATAGACACTCACATATAGTTTTCATTTTGAAATTAGGTACTTTCTCTGATTCCTCATCGGAATTCCTTCTGCAATAGGAGCTTATAAGAAATGCAATCAAACGGGAAGACTGGACTGACATGCCGACGAAATATGATCGTGTGTGTTATGAACATTTTCATTCTAATAGCAGTATTAGCTTCTCTTGCAGAAGTGGTATAAGGAATTTCAATAAGAAATGACAAAATTTCATAATAAAAACTATGTGAGGTTACTATTCACCTAAAAAATCATATTCCTTCGTCTCTCGATGCATTTTTTGTGCATTGTACAACAGCACAATGAGAAGGCATGCTTGAATTGATGAATAGCGCGAACAACATGTTCCGTATGCCAAAATATTATGAATAACTATTCCAATCCTTTGATTCCACTGTAAACAAATAAAAAAAGTGAGGTTGTGTTTCAATGTTTTCCAGGAAAGTGAGGTTATGTTTCAATATTTTACCAACAGGGTCGGTCATCGTGCACGCGGCCTATAGTACCGACTGGTTAAATTGAAAATGTTTGCCCTCTTCACCTCGGAATACGTGCAGTGGCTTTTCTTCATTCTCCGTTGTCACTCGAATTTGGGCATCGCCACCACTTTCATCACTACCTCCGTCTCTAGTTAGTCAAGTTCTGTAGATTTAGATGACCAAATTCCACGATTTCTCTGTTATCGCTCTGTTGATACATTTTCGTACATTCCACATTCTCATATTCATAACAAAATATTTTGTTATAGCCTTCGGAGGGGTCCTGGTGCAAATGTGCAAGACAGTAGTGGATATTCATGTCTTCATCATGCTGCGCTGAATGGACACAAGTAAGTTTCCCAGGTTGAATTTGAAATTTAGATTTTCATATGGATACGAGTATATGATCTTAGATCCTCCTTCAGGTCCATGGTATGATCATTTTAGAGATTTTTTGTGTATCAAGAGGGCAGCGCGTGTAGGTTCATAAGCAAGACACATAATATTCATATTCTAAAAATATATCGAAGCATTCCATAAGACATGTGCATTGATATTTGATATTTGAAGAGATTCGATTTATCTGAAGAACTGAAATATTATTCATTTTTCAAATTTCGTATACAAATATGTCATTCAAAACATACTTGTACTGCCACGTTCATTGACACAATAGAAAATGTAATGAAATGATCCAGTTTTTGTCGGCGGTGTATTTTTATTATTCTTGGACAAAAAAAAACTCCTTTGAGACCATTGTATTGAGAAAAAAATCTGTATCAGAAAGGAATTTAGGAATATACAGGGTGATTCAGAATTCGATGTGAATATGTGGGATCAAAATAATAAATTTTCTTAACATGAACGTGTGTCCTAAAATGCAAGCTACAGCTACTGTAGGTTTGCCAAAAAAAGAATATCAGAATTATGATCATAATAACGGATCAAGTGGAAGTATTCCAATATACTGCACGCCTCTGAACTCGCAGTTTCAAATGAGTTCCGACATACGATCCCCTCCATATGCAAGCGTCTCTGTTTCTGTTTGGTGGTTTAACCACTGCGTTCGAAAACGAAGTCGTGACTTCTCCTTTCATTGATAATGATTTTCTGCCAAACGGTTAGTTGTATATGAAAACAATGCAATGCTATTTAATAGCTTACTTCTCACTGTAGGGTATAATATAACTTTTTCTGCAACCGACACGAACATAGGTATGTTGCTAGGCAACACTTTTGATTCCTAGGAGCTAAAGTTGAACTTCACCTCCTAGGAACTAAAAAGGAAGTATTAGGTCATCAAGAATAAACTAAATTGTTGTGGTTGGATATTTGGGTTGGGACGCATATACCTGATTTTTGCCTGGTTACGGCAGATTTGGCATTTCATACCCATGCTGGAGATATAAATGCACCATATTATAATTGAGTATTTTTGTTCTGATCAGGATAGCCTTCAAGATTCACATACTTGCTCGATCTGTATTTCATTTATCCTCGGGATCTGATTAGATTAGATAACTTGTTTTTGAATATTGTTTAACTTCTTTTGATTACCGAGCCAAACACAGTGGAACATGGAGAGAAATAAATAATCACATTTTCCACTTATTCTTCCTTTACCTGGCACTGGCGCGTTATTTGCTATTAGGGCTGACCTGGTCCAAATCATGTCCAAAAGAATTCATCGATTCGATAGAATACACAAAGGAATCACTCTGTGGTTGTATTTATATTGAAACTACAATTCGAACATCCTTGAAAATTTAATAAACCTGATCTGTAAAGGCAGGTGGAAATTGCATTGCATACATATGGCACGGCATCCACGTAGTATAGTATTGAATTCGTGCATGTTGTATCTGCAACAAAGTAAAGTCATCGTCCACCAATATTCTAATGTGAAGTAGTCTGAGGCTGAGGTGTTGCTTCCTTCTACTCACCTATATAATTAAGCTATTATAATAATCTGTCAAGTAGGTCACATTGGTGGTTACTTCACATATTCATTTTAGTTAATTCCTTCGGTTGCAGAAGAAATAGCATGTTTCATTCGAAAGTGACTATGTTTGACTCGCAAATGCGAAATTCGCTTGTCAAACAAAGTGTCACTTTTGATCCCCAAAAGACAATCTACTATTTTTTCAGAGAAATCGTAAAACTTCTCTTGGACCATGATGCCTCAACGAATATTGTCGACAGCAAAGGTTCATCTCCGCTCCACTTGGCTGCCTGGTCTGGCAATGTGGAAATCGTCAGACTGCTTTTATCAGGACCAGCTATCTGTAACGTGAATTTGACGGTAAGTCAATACAATGTTTGAAAATAATTGAACAGGAAAGAAAAATCGAAGTCGTCTCTACAAGTTTAATGTTGAGAAGATGCAGTCAATCCTGATTCAATAAGGTTTGATACATGTTTCGGCCATTCAAATGGCCATCTTTAGTCAAATTAGTACATCAAAGTGTGTGTGAAAATTTTCATAACATCGTGAAGGCAAAAATATCTTTATCTCTATACATAATTAATTAATTTGAAAACTGGTATTTATTAAAAAGTGGCACAGGACCGTTAAAACTGCAAGGTTCTACCTTTAAAGATAACTGAGATGTCACGCCGAAGCATCGAAAACTAGACACACTGTACATATTTATAAGGAGTTTGAAAGGAAGTCAGATGAAGTAACCCCTGAACCGTATATGAGTGCTACCGAAAATTTTCTGCGATTCTTTCAATTAATCACCAGTTGAGGTCCTTATTCGTTCGAAAAGATAATTTGATCTGAGATGTCAGTTTTTTTTATGAAAGTTCCAATATCTCGAAAACCGTAAGAATTTTACTGAGGTCAAGTTGTGGTTTTCTGATAGGATATGGACCTATTTATTACCAGCTAGAGTATGATCCATAAATCACGGGGCACACTATCTATTAAGTATAGTCAACACCAAAGATAGACCATGACCAGTATTTCCACTTGTCATAATGTTGATTGTTAAATTGGTGAGAATTGTTCAATTTTCTTGAGAATTTCAGGAAATCCGAACACATTATATGGAAAAATGATTTTCGGATTTTTTATATGTTGTAACTGTAGTCATCCTAAGTGGCCCAACTGATCGTATGACCAGATTAGGCGCTAGAGGGTGAAACATCATAAATTTCGTGTATTTTTGAGATTGTGGAGCTCAATGAATAATATGAAAATCTAGTGAAATGGAATCATCCCAAATTAAAGATTGATAATATGCGGGAGGGGGTTATTGAGATTGGTTGAAGGTACGTCTGTTTCAAGAGCACAGAAAATATGCAATAGCCTTTTTACAGGGTTGTTTTCAGAGAATGATGAAGCATTCTTTTTTTGAATGAACTTCCACAAAATTCTCAAACACACGATACATAGTAGCTTCGTCAGGTGATATACTGGTGCAATGAGTTCATTGTTCCAATTTTATTGCAGATTGCGGGTACAGAGACGCTGAACATCTACCTGAGAATTGTATCAACAATGAAATGCTAGCCTTCCTACAAAGAGGAAAACGTCAACAGAAAATAGAGGCAAATTCAGATAGATATTGTTGAAGCAACAAATGGCCGTGAAAATCCATTTTAGAAATATTTAGTCAAACAACTCTCATAGACTGTATCTGCAATCTTGGAAATTTCATATAGTATTGCTGGAGCAGTAATGATTATGGAATCACGCCACAGAATGTATGCAAATGCTCCATTGTCTAAAGAGATGCTGCATCGATCTACACTTGTGATGAATGGGCCCTTCATTCCATTTAAAAAATCTTCAGGAATAATATTTTCTGTTGGACTCAAAATGTAGCATTTGACTACCATTGGAACAGAAAAGAATAAAAAATCCCAGCCGTTCAAGAGTTAACTAGGATGGGATAACTTCGTGGACACACACACATCACCGTGATAATGCACATCAATAAAACACTGATGAACATATCGTCATTATTCGTTTTAGTTCCTTTTTTTTAAACGTGGATTTTTGGATATGGATATAATGGCAAAGCGAACAGAGAGTGATGACGAGATTGTGCGTGAACCTTCTTGTGGTATTTCGAAAATGGGGTTCAGAGAACAACATGTGAGGACATATTGGAATTTTTGATATTTGGATCACTCTGTATTCATAATATATTCTGTTTTTTTTTTTCACCTACAGGGTAAAGGCTATTGCATCTTCTCTGTGCCCTTGAAACATACTTGCCTTCAGCAAATCTCAATAACTCCCTACGCCATATCTAATCTTCATTTTGGGGTGAATCCATATCACGAGATTTTCATATTATTCATTGAGCTCCGCAATATCGAAAATTCACGAAATTTATGTTGTTTCACCCTCTAGCGCCAAATCTGGTCATACGATCGAGTTGGGCCAATGGAGTCTTTCACTCAGAATGACTTCAGCTACAACATATCAGAAATCCAACCATTTTCACCGAAAGACATTTTCCCATATAACGTGTGCGTGGTCCTTTTAGGAACATTCTTCTGTTCCTAAGGTGGATAGAACAGGTACCTATCCCCAATACTGTGACAAAAAAATAAACTCGCAGAAAACGGGCTACCCATAAGAGAAAAGAACATAGAAATACTCAAGAAGTTCATACCATTATTTGATATGTTATTCGCAATAGAAAATAAAACGTCGCCCCACCTGACGGCAACAAGTTGAACACTTCTAAAATGTTTGCTTTGAAGGATTAACCTATGATCACGAACAAAAAACAAATGTTGAACAATGGAAACAAAGTAAACAAACCGCTCTGACAGCTTCCAAAAATTCCATTTGCATGCTTATTTTCTATCGCGAATATCCCAATAATGTCATAATATTATTATGTCATTAAAAAACAAAACGGCATCAGTGTCATCTTCTTCTTTCTTTAGACGAAATGAACGGATACAGCAGAGTCTTTACAACGACATTCAATTTCTCCAACTGCATGATTAGTTCTATGAGATAATGAATTGTTTCTGAGTTTCCTTTATTATCAAGTGAACGACATAGGGTGAAGGGTCGAATATCAGTGCATGACTGCAGACCGAATGACACAGCACATCGTCTGTGGGTCTGTCAAAAGGTCGTATAGTGAAGTGGCCAGCGTGAAAGGGCCCAGCGGAGCATTATACAGGGAAATGGTGATTAATCTGCACAAATGGGCCCTTATACTGCCAATCACTTGGATTGCTTGTTGGATTTCAGACCTAATTCCGTTGATTTGGCTCTTGGAAACGACAATCAAACTATGTATTCGTCAGTTTTGATGTGCGTCATTCACCAGCTACAGGTTGTATATAGCAACAGCAATGTATTGAATCACATTTAAACTATATGAATGAAAGAAGCATCAAGATTTTGACTAGTGTAATGATTCTGAGATATTCTGAGATCCCGATTAGACGCTCTTCAAATTGATATTGATCGAGGGCAAGTTAGTTAGCAATTGTCAACTTGACCATTAGCTAGAGCTCAACTTCTGGAAAACCAGGGGTTCAACTGTTCATCGTTCCTCCAGTTTTTTGTAATTGACAACTGAAATATTCGTTAATTTTGGCAGATTCATCAATCATGAACTGAAACTGCATGTTGGTCGACTAACAGCTAACATCAACTAATAGTTAACTCATAGTTGGGGCACCTACTGTTTATTCACTGCATATCAATCTTCTATAACTGAGTAACTCCGAGTAATGAAAATGATGGTAGCCGCGATTTTCGAGCTTTGATTCGGTTCTACTTGCTTCGGTGTTAATATTATCATTATATTGTCAAAAAAATCACAAAATGGGTTCAAACAACAAAATAAGAAAATATAGTAACAGACTTCACAGACGAATGAATCAAATCTCATCAAGAATAAAAGAACTTCGAAAAAACTACTTGGCCACAGAAGGAACCAACTTTGGAAGGCAAAATAGAACCGCAATTGATTTCTGCCAGAAAATCAAGTAACTACAATATAAAAGCAGTATCAAATTCATCTATCTCATATGATTCCTGTGACAAAATACAAATCGAACATTATTCATGGTACTGAATGATTCGATATAATATTAGTAGACAATTTTAGAACTACATCAATTATCAGTATCGAATTCAACAATTTCATCTTATCCATATATCTTCCCTACCTACATTTTGAATTTTTGATTTCTCCTACTCCGCGGGGTTGATATACGAATACTTCCTAAGAAATCTTCATCATCGAAATTTTCACAAGAATCAATACTCATAATCTATGATCTCTACATCTTCATCATTAATCCAAAAAACTACTGCGCTAAAGATCATATATTATGAGAGAAGGCCATATACTGAGAGAAAGAGTTCTCATTTTTCAAAAACGCATAGTATAGATTATGATTATCCTGGAGCATATATAGAAGGAATAATCAATATATATATAAGTAGAAGTGCATATGAACGAAAAAAGTATTGTATTTGATATTCTCCTCAAAATTTCCTCGAATAACTTCATCAAAATCAATCGATTTGTACTAGAATAGGAATATTGGCGAGTGATGATGTATTTGTTTGAAATCAAATACTTTGCGTTGAAAATTGCATGAAGAATTACATTCTCACTGCTTATGCACGCAAAGAAATGGAGTTGGAAATATCAACCATTCGTTGTGGTTTCGAATTCGTGGTAGTAAATACCGAAGTTGTGATTGAATCAACCTCCCAAAATGATGCAAAGTATCTGGACGTTATTTGTATCTACTAGGATGAAATGGTTCACTGAGAAATTATTTCGTAGTAATGTTTACCACGACGCTAAGAGGTTTCAAACATTCTAGGATGGTTCTTTGTACAGAAAGTGTTATCATTACGTATCAATTGATATTCATCACATAAAATGGTAAATGCAACCCAAATTATCTGTATTTGCCACTGATCGTGTTGTGGTTATCAGTTATACGGAATTATTACCATGTCGAATGGCAAACCACACTAATTATTGATAAATTTGAATAAACTTAGGAATATCTCATTGAACAAAATTTTCGAAGTTATTCTGATATAAAAAAAAATAACAAGAATCGCCAATTATTAGCTATTACGCTACTTTGATAGAAACTATTGTGTACATTGGAATTAAATCAACTATAATGGAAGGTCGAATGTACTGGATTATGACTATTTTTCGTTTCTGGTGCGAACACATGTGAAGAAAAACTACATCAACCATAGTTATCATACCTCATTTAGTATGCGAACTAAAGCCAATCCATATACCTAGTATATCCTATATAGTTCATTCAAACAGTGAAAGT